TTTGTCGCTTCACTCACCTTCATAAGGTTAGCATGTAAACCTAATATAAAAAGGTAACGTATTATATAAAGGAAAAATACGTTTAAGAATAAAAATTTTGAATACTTGGGCAATAAGTTTTTGAAGATCTTGCTTCTTCCGCTCACGTTCCTTGCGTCTAGCCTCGATTCGATGTAGTTCATTGATTAACCACTGTTCTTCAGCAACCTCACTTCTCGTCCTTCCATAAAGTAAACTAAGCTGTCGTCTTCGTCTGCGTTCATGAGATGCATCATATCTGAGACCTTGTGCAAGATTGGTTCCGCGGATCTAGGTTTAGTTTTAAAATTAAAAAATAGAGATTAGGCATCAAATAGAGGCAATAAACGTTGCATATAATGATAAATAGGTACAAAATATCACCTTGTCAAGTTGGTGCAATATATCATAGTACCGCTGTTTCATATCTTCAAGTGCAGGGCGAGGGGGGAATACATCAGCATCCCAACGATCATGCATGTGAATGAAGCGAAGATCAAATCTGCGAGCCAGATCCAATAAATGATGAGTTTGTTCGTAGGACCATTTTGAACTTTCTAAGTGTATTTTATATTCGTCATAAGTGTAAGCGGGAACCTCAATATGCTAAAAATAATGCTTAAGCGAATTGGGCCGATAAATGAAGCCAAAGAAGCAGAGAATAGTCACCTTACAAAAGCGGGCAAAATAGTAGTCGTCTCCTCTTTCTGCATCTTGTGCACAACGCCAGTGTTTTAGTTGTAAGTTATCCTATTGTAATATGAAAATAAATAACGAACCTTTCTGGCTGAGTTGGTGAAAGGCACCCAGACCCAGTGACGAACTTTTCCGACGCCAATAACAGCTTTAGGCTGCTTATAAACAGGTGCAGTGTCGAGGGGCATGAGGGGAGGCAACTCGCTACTAAATCAAATAAATAAGGAATCACCTCTTAAAGGTGTTCTGCAGTCCCCAAACTTCTCTAGGTATATTTTCAGGACGTTTTGGAGGAGCATTTGCTTTGCCAGCCTTCTTCTTATCTGCTCTTGCAAATATGATTTCCTTATCCAAGACATTTTTCCTGGTCGCACCCTCGTCGACATCCAATATATCTAAAACGTCAGTGGCAACGGACATACAGGGGGTAAAAGGAAGGTCTAAAGAGGCGGGATAGTATAAAACAAAAAGAAAACACACTTCAATAAAAATCTATTTTTATAAGTTTAAATCAAATTTAAATATTTCGTTTTGCTTAATATTTTTATTAGTTAAACTATAATACACTTATTAAAAACATTTTTAATTTCTTTGAATTATGCAAGCAAAGTCACAAATTTCACTTTAAAATAAAAAGTATTGAAGGCCACGAAGATAGGTTTGCCGCTGTTTAATAGAGCCTGCCATATAAACCAGGGTAATTTAACGCGCACATTAATAATTTTAGTGAAAGGATGTGCTGACTAGTTCCGGCCAAACAAAACATGCTGCAATTTATTTATTGCTCTGATACATATCAAGTGTAATCACCATTTTTAACCCGCCTCGCTGTTCGTGTACACACTACAAGACTTAATAATCTTATTTTTTATATGTAAGTAGAGTTTTTGGACTACCAGTAAATCAGTATAATGAGATGTATTCACTTTATTTCCTTTATAGTGATGAAGGACTGGTAGTAGAATTTTCCCATAATGATATGAGTAGAGCTGACCTTCCTTGTAATTCACTTATGCCCTGTAAGCCAAGGACACTCGTGGCAATGTGGTCGAGTGGTTAACGTGTCAAGCTCCCATTCTGCACTGTCCCGGTTCGACTCGGCTGGGGGTGTTGATAAGACCGATGTAAGGTCAAGACTGCTGTCCACGCTGGATGATAACAACTTTTGGGAAAGCAAGGCAATGTGCAATTCAATGGAAACGTGAGCTCTACTCATATCATTGTGGGAACATTCTACCACAAGTCCTTCATCACCTTAAACGAAAGTGGGTGAATACTTCTCATATATAATTATTAGCCAAACAGGCTTTCTTTGACTGAGGTATGTGCTACTCATGGATACGATAACTCATCTTAAGCCATCGTTGCGATGTGGAAAATTATCGTAACAGAGGGCACAGTATTTGATAAGTTTAACAAGGCCTCTGTTGCTTCGAACAAGTTGCAAAATCGAGGCCAAACCAACACAGATTTTGAAAGTATGAAGACCAAGATGGTGTGGCCTTTTTTGTGGTCGCAGTCTCCTTTCGTTGCATAGAAGTTATTTGACCTTGTTTTCA